TTACATCACAAGTCCCTTTATAATTTTGATAATTCTATCATTCACAAACAAATTAAGAAACTTTACAAACTTTACCATAAAATAAAAGTTTTCATTGACAAGATATCATCTGACCCAATTCCTTCATCCTTCCCATTTATCATTTCTTCAGAAGAACATAAATCAGTCTTGACCATTGCTACAGAACATAACATATCTTCAGCTTCTCTAGACTCTTTGTTTTACCAAAATGATCTTCATTTGTATCTCATTGACTTAAAAGCTTCTATCATTAAACCACTGGAATGCAAGTTAAAAATAGTTTCTAAATAAGAAAATACCAATAGAATCAAAGCTTTCATTTTACAAAGAGCAGACAACTACAAAGATGCTTCCTCTAAAATGATTGACTCATGTTTAGAAAGGTCTAGAAATACTATCGTTCTTAATAGAATTCTCATTAATGAATCTAATCAGAACCCGTATCTTGAATTAGACCAAAAAAAATTAAAAAAAGCTACCGCTGTACATTTTTAAACAGTGGCTGGCTCGCTAAACAAGGAAGTTACAGATCCAACGACCCTAACTTTTCAAACTTCTGGCCCAAATGGAAAGAATTTTATTTTCCTCTTCCTACCATTAATAACGATATTTACGATCAAGTCTTAGATCCTTCCACTTATGACAAATGGCTTCTCATTATCAAACATCTACCCAATAAAAAAGCTCCTGACCCCTCTAATGTCTCCAACGAGTTTCTAAAAAAAATGGGCCCTTTAGCGAATAAATTTTTATATCATATAATATGTGCGTGTTTTACGTCTGGTCTCACACCTAGGCAATAGAATTTGGCTCACGTATATCCGATACCCAAGCCAAAACTATGGAATTGCGATCTCAACAATACACGACCTATCACTTTACTTGAAACTGTTCATAAAGCTTTTACAAAAATTATTAACGCAAGATTACAAAGATTCTCATTGCTAACAAAGTTCTGTCCAGTTTGAATTTTGCTGGCCTTCCACATCAATCCACTCTTGAACCTC